GATCTTACCTACTAAGTGCTAGAGGTTAGGACCAATATGTGTAACTTCAAGTTGAGTAAAGAGAAGAGTTTTGAGTTTCTAATGGTGAGGGTACCTTCTCTAGTTTTCTAAGACTAGTCAGTAGGAAAGTCCTAAGGCTAGACCTAGGCTATTAAAGAAATTTCTAGACCTCAACCAAAAGTGAGGTCAAAAAGCACTTTCTCCCAACATTCATGAGACACTTGCGACTAGCTACACTGTAGGAATATGTTAGATGGTTGTTCTAGTCTAGAAGTCAATCCATTGATGATTAAACCCAAAACAGACTTTACTACTAAAGCACCAATATCAATTGGTCTTCCGGTTTAAATACAGTAATTCAAAATCGCACTTTCCTTCACACTTTTCTGATTTTCAGAGTAGGAAGTAGTTTTGATGCATTAAAGAAATGCCACGCCTTCAATGTAGGATTCAATAATGATGAAGAAAACTTACATATCTGTTATTTTTGGTCTCCCAGTTTGCATCTTCATCTGATAAAGTTCATCCATATTATCTCTCGTAGGGACAAAATTTGCATAGTGACAAATAGGAATGCTTTCAATCATAAGCATGTCATTTATCCTTAAAGGAGTAAAATGTACTCACCTGCCTCAAACATAGATGACTCCTTGGTTAATTCCATAAAAGATTAGCGTAAAACTCCTTCACCACAGAAACTACTACAACGACAGTGGTATAGCAAAGTACTTCCCAACATATTTATGCAATAATCTCCTCCACTCGAGTATACGTTGTGTTGAATCCTTGATTGACAAAGCCTCGCTCCTTGATTAGTCTCTTCTTCACAATAATAAAGTAATATAACTTCTGCGCATCGAAACTTTTGAACTTCCTCCTGTTGAAAATTCAATATCTAGTGGTATCTTTAGAGTGGGAAGCCATTGGATTTGATAAATTGTGGCTTTCCCTTTGTTTTCCCCTATATATATATATATACTCCCGAATAGACATAATTCATAAAGAAAGCATAAAAAGAACAGATAAACAATAGAAACAAACAAAAATATGGGTTGCCTCCCATAAAGCACTTGGTTTAATTTTGTCAGCTCGACATTACTTGTCTTTACTCTGGGTGATCCAAAATTACAGTCAATTTAAAAATTTATCTTTGACCGTCAAAATATGATTTCAGTCTGTGCCCATTCACTTTAAATAAATTTTCAGTCTTGGAATCATCAATATTAATAACTCTATAGAGATTGACTTTTACAATTGTGAATGACCCTATGCATTTAGACTTCAGTTTTTCAGAAAATAATCTCAATATTGTATTGTGTAATAAAAATTCCTGCCCAGGCTCAAATTCCTTTTTTATTGTCTTTCAATCATGTCATTCTTTCATTTTATCCTTATATATTCTAGCATTATCAAAAGATTCATTCTCAATCTCTTCAAGCTCATTCAATTGCAAAAATCTTTTCTCACCAGCATCTTTCAAATTAAAATTAAACTCTTTAATCGCCTAATAAGCTTTATGTTCCAATTCTATTTGTAAGTGACAAGTCTTTCCAAAAAGCAATCTATGTGGCGACATTCCTATAGGTGTCTTATAAGCTGTCCTATAAACCTATAATGCAGCATCTAATCTAGCAGACTAATCTATTTTATTAGAATTTACAGTTTTTTGTAAAATTTTCTTAATTTCATGATTTGATACTTCTGCTAGATCACTAGTCTGGGGATGATAAACAGTTGCAATTCTATGTATAATATTATATTTTCCACAAATTTTTCTAATGCGTCTATTCTAAAAGTGAGATCCTCATTCTTTTGTTCCGAAAGTGAGATCCTCTATCAGTAATGATTATTCTCGGCATTTCATATCTTGTAAAAATATTTTTGATTAAAAACACTTCAAGCATCACTTCGAGGTAAAGCAATTACTTCAAATACAAATACATAAATTTTAGAACAAACACAAACAGGAATCTAAAATACTGATGACAGCTATAAGAGCTTTAGATTACACAAATCGATGGTGCATTTCCCTTATGGATAAAGAATGCAAACAAAAACCATGACCACAGTGTCAAAACATATCAATGGCACTGAAAGCTTCATCTTTTCTTTATCCATAGACCAATTGCAGAATAAAAGTGTTGTAAAATCAGTCATCGATCTTCATCTGAGCTGATAATTTCAACCTCTATCATGTTCGCAGAAGATTGATAGTTTTTTTTCCTTTTAGACTTTGTTCCATTTTTTAGTGTCAGATTTGATGGCAGCTTTGTAGCTACAGCAGGCCTTTTTCCTGAGTGGGCTTTTATTTCATTTTGCTTCAGAGTTTGTTTCTCAGGTAGTTTTAGTTCAGTCTTGACTTTTGTTAGTTTATTGAGGAATCGTATTCCCAGAGAATGCCTATTGGTTGTTATTTTATCTGTAGTACTTTGAACTTTTCTAAGTCCATCTACAGACATAAACTTTACTTGTTGCAATGAAGTTGCTCAATTAGATTGCTTCACTTGGGGGTTAATAATATAAACACCCTCTCCTTGGGGTCTGAATGCCAATTTTAAGTTCCCACCCTTTAGTTCAGCACGTGCAGTGGTATAATTTTTGGAAGCATTTGATGAATGATACTTGCAATAAGACATCTTATTTTTGTTTATCACCATTGTACAAGCCTTTCCATCTTTCCTTTTACCATTACAGATACCATAGTCTGTCGATGTCCCTATCCTTAAAATTTGACTAACTGAGTACAAGCTCAACGAAAACCCTTTTCCAGCATCTTCCTTGCGAACATTTGAGTTAAAAAGGGCAAAAACGGTCCCAACCCTCTCCTTATAGTTCATCTTGTAGGCATCGCAAAACAAAAAAAACAGAGGCATTTGTCTTATCCAAACACCTCATTTTCCATATACAATAGCTCTTCTCAGAAGAGCTCATTTTTTCCTCTCCCTTCTCTGTCAACAGTCCAACTATTGCGCAGCTACCAGAAAGAGTGGACAATAAAGTCCTGATGGCTGACATCCGAACAAATCTCACATCAGAGAAGCGATTGCTTAGCTCAACGGACGATACATGCTGATTCCAAATTTTGATACCAAAAAATCTCTCAATCTCCACTTGCCGTGTCTTCCCCTTGGATTTCTTATTGGAATGGTGGACCTCCAGAACAGTTGGCTCCGAATCGAGGTAATCCCTAACAGCTTCCCGGAAGACTGACATGTCACTGGCCCTGGGCCTCCTTGGTGATCCATCATCAGATACATATACGTAGAACTGCCGGTCGGAGGATGCAGGAGAGCCAACAGGTGTTTCTGGTACTTTGTCTCCTCCCAGGAAAAGGAGGAGATCAAGGTCATCGCCGGTGACATCCATGATTCTCACCAAAGTGGAGGGAGAAATGGTCTCATAAAATCTAATCCTCAAACATCAAAGATTTCAACTTCTAAAGAAAAATTTAGAGGCATTTCATTTCTTTTTGAAATATTACCTACTCGCTGACATTGATCACATGTTTCAATATATAAATTAACATCTCTAAATATAGTAGGCCAATAAAATCCAGATTGTAAAATTTTGTGAGAAGTTCTATCAATCCCAAAATGACCTCCAAATTCAGAATCATGACATTTTTGGATAGTTCCTTAAATTTCTTCATAATGTACACATCTCTTCATAACCAAATATGTGTATTATTTGTACAAATTTGGGTCATCCCAAAAATAAAATTTTGCATCATGGATAAACTTCTTTTCTTATTATTTTGTCATCTCATATGGTAAGTACCACTGACAATGCAGTTACAATATCAACATACTATGGTATTTCTCATCCTTTAACTTCATCAGGAAAAGTTTCATTAATTTCTTTTATAAGATCAGATGTTTATTCCTATTCCAGTCTAGATAAATGATCATCAATTTGATTATTGGTTCCTTTCCTATCGACTATTATAAAATCAAATTCTTGCATCAAAAATACCCATATAATTAATCTTGATTTTGCATCCTTCTTCTGCATCAGATACTTTATAGCCAAGTGGTCAATGTGCACAACACATTTAGCTCCAATTAGATAAGATCTAAATTTATCAAAAACATAAACAATGGCTAATAGCTCTTTTTTAGTAGTGGTATATTTAATTTGAGCATCATTGAGAGTTTTACTAGCGTAGTATATAACTTTAAGAATTTTATCATATCTATGCCCTAAGATAGCTCCAATCGCATAATCACTTGCATCACACATTAATTTGAACAATTTCTCCCAATCAGGTGAAACGATTATAGGAGCAGTGACCAATTTTTCCTTCAATGTTTCAAAGGCATTAAGGCACTCTTGATTGAAATCAAACTTTGTATCTTTTTCCAAAGGTTGGCATAAAGGCTTTGCAAATTTTGAAAAATCTTTGGTATATCACCTGTAAAAACAGCATGTCATAAAAAGCTCTAACTCCTCTTACAGTAGTAGGTGGAGGTAAGTTAGATATTACTTGAATTTTTTCTGGATCTACTTCCATGCCATTTTCTGAAATTTTATGCCCAAACACAATTCCTTCTACAACCATGAATTGACATTTTTCATAGTTTAATACTAGATTTGTCTTTTCACAACGTTCTAGAACTTTTTATAAATGATTTACTTTTTTTAAATGATTTAGACATATTTCCAATGAAGATTCAAACACAAAAAATCATTCATAAGGACTTCTATCCCTTTTTTAATTAAATCACTTAAAATTGACATCATACATCTTTGAAATGTTGCAGGTGCATTACATAATACAAAGGGCATTTGCCGAAAAGCAAAAGTTCCATAAGGACTGATTCCTTTAATATCAGTTAATGTCCATTCAAAAGCTTTCTTATATCTTCTTTAAGTTTCCAACAACTTTTGTTCTTATGCTTCAGTTAATTCTAAGGATACGATAACTCTAAGGATACGATAACAGGTAATGATACGATAACAGGTAATGTGGATAAATCTCCTAAAAATGCATATTTTAAATCTGTAGGAAGTGTTTTCATTTGTAGTTCAGGAGGTTTCTCAATCGATGAAACCAAATTCTTGTTATTATTTGTAGGATCTAACAATTCAAATTTTTTCTGAACATAATCCAATTCTTCATTACTCACTTCTATAGATTCATCTTGAATTATATCCTCATATATCCTCATCCTCATAATTATATCCTCATCCTCATACTCCACATGTTCTTTTTCAATTTTCTTTTCAAATATATTCATGAAATTTTCATTGCTTAAATAGTCGTTAATTTTTATTTTGAAGCATTCATCCTCTCTTCCTTTTGCATAATTAAATGTGACCTCTTGATAGCTAACTTATATCTTCAATTGTCCTTTCTGCACATCTATCAAAGCTCTTATAGTGGCAAGAAATTGTCTACCTAAAATGATAGGAATTTCTTTATCTTCCTCCATATCTAGCACAATAAAATCCACTGGAAAGAAATATTTATCAACGTTTACCAAAACATCTTCTATAACTCTTTTAAGATAGGTAGTCGAATGATCAACTAAATGAAGGGTTAGAGTAGTAGGTGAAATTTCTCTTAAACCCAACCTTCTGAAAATTGATAGAGGCATTAGATTAATAATGACTCCCAAATCACATAAAGCTTTTCCAAAAAATCTTTCGCCAATAGCACAAGGAATAGTAAAACTAAAAGGATCTTTGAATTTTTTATGAAGCTTTTTCTGAATTATAGCGCTACACTCCTCACTAAATGAAACAGTCTCATTATATGTAAACTTCATTTTTTTATTAAGTATATCCTTCATAAACTTCATATAGCTGGGCATTTGTTCCAGGGCTTCAACAAATGGAATGTTTATTGTCAATTTCCTCAATATTTCCAAAAATTTTGTAAATTGATTATCTTTGTTTTTCTGCTTCAATCTGTAAGGAAATGGAGGTGGTGGTCTTTCTACAATAATTTTCATTGGTTTGATAGGACATTCTGACTCAAAATGAAAATCTTCATTAGATTTTTCACTTTCCACCCTTTCTTTTTCAACTTTAAATTCAAATTATTTTTGAACTTTTGTTTTTAATTCATTTCCATTTCTCAGTTTAATAGCCTTAATTTGCTCTTTGTTGAGATATTTATGATTTACTTCAACATTACTAGGTAACATTCCTGGAGGTCTATTGCTAAGTCTATTGCTAAGTGCAGTAGCAATACATCCCAATTGATTTTCCATATTTCTAATTGCAACTCATTGATTTGTAATTGACAAACCATTTTCAATATTAACTCTTCCATTAAAAAATTCTTCTACTTAATTTGCAAATTGCTATTGAAGCTTGGAGGGTAATAAAGATTATATTTAGAATTTCCTTGATTGTTTTAGTTTCCCAATTGGTTTGTAGCACTGTTCCCCCATTGTAGATTTATATCATTAGAGTTATTGTTACTCTAACGAAAATTCAATTGTTTATTGCATGTAGAGTTTTATACGAAGACTGAGATTTGATCATTTGTCCTAGTGAATTTTTCTCAAGCACAGGAGGTGTCTAAGAGTAATTCATTCCATATTGATCTATTTTCTTTGATATTGCATCAATTTGAGCAGCCAACATAGATATTGCATCGAAATCATGAGTACTAGCTACTCTTTTTGGGTTTAACCTTTCAGAGGGCCATTGAAAATTATTACTAGCCATCTCTTCAATAACAAATAAGCTTCAACAAATGGTTTCGACATTAATGATCCACCATCAAAAACCTCAATTATTGATCTAAGAGATTCAACTAATCGATTATAAAAAGTGAATTATTAACCAAATTGGAAATCAATGGTGTGGACACTTCTTAATGAGATCTTTAAATCTTTCCCAAGCTTCATAAACTGATTCCCCTTCAAACTGACAAAATGATGTAATAGCATTTCTAAGCTTAGCAGTTTTGATGGTGGGAAATATTTAAATCGCATTTCTAAGCTTAGCAGTTTTGATGGTGGGAAATATTTAGATAGAAATTTTTGTAATAAGTCTCCCTAAGTTCTGATAGATCTAGGTGTTAACGACTTTAATCACATCTTAGCTTTATCCCTTGGTAAAAAAAGGAAAAGGTCTAAGTCGAACATCATCATTGGACACTCCATCATATTTAAATGTAGCACATAATTCTAGAATACTAGCAAGATGTAAATCAGAATCTTCAGTTGGTGTTCCCCAAACTGATTATTTTGTACCATTTGGATAATTGCAGGTTTAAGTTAAAATGATTTGGCAGCTACTATAGGGTTTTGTATAATCAAATGAATTTCATCTGTTGTAGGATTAGCATAATCGTTTAAAGGTCTCTGATGACGTTCATTATCATTCCTAAAATTACTTGAGTTGCAAGCCATTCTGTTCAAATTATCTATTTCTTTTTGTTGTTTTCAAATTTTTATAATTATTTTTTCCAACTACGAATCGTAAGGTATTAAACCTACCAATCTTAAACTACGCTTAAAAAAACACAGTAATTAATAAAAAATAAGCAAACACACAAAAATATAAAGATATTTAATTAAACTAGAAATTGTTTTTTAGTTCAAATAAATTGTTATCAATTATAAAGTAATTTACCTTTACTCCCTTTTTTTTAGTTCAAATAAAATGTTATCAATTATAAAGTAATTTACCTTTACTCCCTGACAACGATGCCAAAAACTTGATGCGGCGCTCAGCTAACACTAATAATAAATATGCAGTTCAATCCCAATAAAAATAAATTCAGTAAAATAATTTTATCTTTTAAAATTTCTAAGTTATGAAACCTGTAATAATAACGCAAGTATATGTATCGCTCAAGTAAAAAGGGCTCTAATGGAGTCATAAGTATCGATCCCACAGGGAGTTGAAAATTTTTATGGCTATAACGTCAAACACACTATTCAAACTATAAAACTTAAGTAAGTAAATGAAATCTAAAGTAAATTTAATGTGTGCTAAATGAAATGCACTTAAAAGAACTAAGTTAACTAAACTAATTGCTAAACTTCAAAAGTAATCTTATAAAGACTAGACAAAGTCTTGAAATGAAGAGTTCAAATTTAAGAAAGCATCCTTCCTCTTACAATGAGTTTATAAAATGTTAAGAAATTAAAATAATTTAAAAAGTACATATGAAATTGTATTGTGCCAAATAGGAGCAATCCTATTCTTTACCCTCTGAGAGTGCATAAAAAACATTGATTAATTTAAAGTTTGGTCCCTTAATCTATGGTTAGGTTGAGAGGATACTGGCTTTCACTCCAAAGCTCTCACTTCTTCTTCAACTGAGGGCTAACAATCTCGCTTTGGTTTCAACCAAATTGGGGATTGTAATCTGTCATCTTAAAATATCCATTTTTGCACCTATC